TCCTCGACGCGCGTCGTCCGGGTGGTGTGGAACGCCACCCCGGCAAAGAGGGGGCGGGGGGAGTGGGGACGACCGTCCTCGGACGGCAGGCGCCGCGCCGCCGTCGAGGCCAGGACGGCCGTCAGCATCGCAGGATCGCTTGCGCAGATCGCAAAGGTATTACGGCTGATGGGACTAACCAGGTACAGGTTCAGCTGATCACTGAGCGCCTTTTTCGTGGTCGTACAGGAGGTAATGAGATCCAGAATGCGTTTGACCTCGCCACGCCGTCGTAAAGCGTCCTCCAAAAGGCGCCGATCCCAGTGTGCCCATTCAGATGAACCCGTTAGACATTGTGCCTTGCTTTCCAAATGCTGCTCCTCAATGTTGTTCGCGGGTGATAAAGCGGAAAAAATGAGTAGATGCAGACGTCGGTAGATCGATTCGGCAAAATCGTCGAGCTCGTCAAGACAAACGTTGCCGGACTTGTCTATTTTCTTAAAAGAGCAGTGATATTTGCTTATCAACAGCTCTGGAATCGGCAGCGTAGAGACAACATTGGTACGAAAGTTAATGTGATCAAGCCACGCACGCTCCTCAACCGCACGATCGTAGACGAATTCATACGGCTTCACGCCAGAAAACGACGGCATCACCTTCTTCACGAGGGAGTGATAGATGTCAGGGTTTTCAATTCGCGGCTCGGCAGAAAGCAAAGGCGCGAGGGCTGGTGGAATGCCCATAAACTTTGTATCCTTTCGAATCGCCACGATCAGATATCGACTTCGATCCACCGCTACACCGTGTGCGGTGTAAAGCACCGGGCGAAATGATGGAGCTGTTTCTGAATTTGCCCTCCCTGCGAGCTTAGTGCATGTGCTAAAACTCGTAGGGGTCTGCTCGTAGTCGCCCTGTCGGTCGCCAAGTAGCTCAATTGTAACGAACCGCGAACGTTGGACGTCTGCGAGAATATCGCAGGCTGGCGTAAATCGTGTGTAGCGAAATTCAGGGCCAATCGTGCTCCGTGTCGTCGACGACGAATCTTCTGGTATCCCACCACAACCCACAACCAGTGGATGAAGAAAAATCTTCGATGAGTGAAGCTCATCGTTTAGGCGGGGAAAAACAACATGTAAAAGCTTCTCTAACTCTGAATAAAACAAACGCGGTGGGGCAAGAATAGCGACTTCAAACACCCTCCAGCCTGTGTTGGGGTCAGCGGCCGGCAGCAGCGGAACGTTCTTTAGGATCCTATCCGAGTTCAACTTTTCCAGACGCTCTGCTAACTGGGAAAGCAACTGACGCTCTTTCTGATCCCAAGACGTAGGAACTGCCTTGGTAGCGTTACGATTAGCTTCTTCCGCCAGTTGTGGGGGAGCTGCGATGTCTACGCAATTGGAAAGGTTCTGCTTTGGAAGATCCACCGCCGTTGAATCATTAGACTTCTTCGCAGAAGCATCCGAGAAAGATTCGCACTGAGGAAGCTCCAGACGCTTTATATGGCATGCCTTAATGATTTTAGTAATAACTTCGTCAGGAACTTGAGTATTACTTAGCTCCACGTGAATGAGGGAAGGACATTGTCTAACTAACGTCAAAAGTGCAAGCCCACCGGGCATTGAAAGGTCGTGGTTGCCCGACAAATCAATCATACGCAAGTTAGGATGATTTTTCAGTGAGCGGCAAAGGAACACCACGGCATTGTTGTTTAATCCATTCTTGGGCAAATCCAACATTTTGAGATTCATGTTCTTCGCAATCAAAGGTGCAAGGGCCTGCAATCCGATACTTCCAATATAGTTTTCTGTCAACTTCATGACCTCGTCGCTGCAGATCGCCTTGACGTTTTGAAGAAGAAGGGAATTGGGTTTGATGTTAAGAGCTCGACAATTACTCAAAAATTCACTGCAGGTATCCGCCCGGCATTGCTCATTATCGTGATGCGTACGGGAAGCGGAGGGGTCGTCAATGGAGTCAGCCGCGGGTCTGATGATTTCACCATTTTTGCAATTTTTGGATGAAAAAATGGGACAATTTTTGGATCCTGCCTTCATCTGTTTCTTGAATTCCTCTAGGGAAAGAACTTTAAAGTCTTTATCCATATCCACCACTAAACGGTCACTACACCTAGTAGATGAGAAAAACAACAGGACAATCGATTCCAGGTAAAAAAAATTTAACCTTGCGAACCCAGAAAATACCCCAACTAAATAGTTGGAGCCCTTTACCCCATCTCTCTTTTCCAAAATTAAACCTAGCCAAAATACAAGCTTTAGGCTCATAACCCATTCTGTGTGTAATTGAAAACATTCAGAAGCGTGATTAGGGACAAAAATATGGATTCTCAGCGCTGTGTGCCCTTATCAAACTAGAAACAGTCAAAAACAGAGGCAAATATATATAGAAAAAAAATTACGATCTTTATAGATGCTTTCTTTACAATGAACTCGCATGACAAGATTTTATCAGATTATGATAGGCCTGCTTAGAAACCGCCGTTGCCAAGGTTGTTTGGACGAACTGAGGTAAAGATTGTGCTACCCCGGCGTCGTTAGCAGCTGTCATAAGAAGCAGTACGCCTGATTGCCGTCTTGGCTTCTCCTTTTCAAGGAGCGAACCTGCCTGCTGTGCATCTGCTGAAATGCGAGCAGACTCCTTAAATATTTCATACACCAATTTGGTAGCGTTTTGGTCATTTATACTGCCAGATTCAGAAAGATATTTTACTAAGAACTGTCGATCTCTCTGGACCTGCTGCTCAAAATCCATGATGGGTAACAACAGGAGATGTAAATAGTTCATTTCCACATCCACGTAGTTAAGAACCTTCTTTTTGATGACTCGAATCCACTCCTCTAAGGCAGAAGAAGACCTCATCGCGAGCTCCATTTCCCTACGAGTACCACTGTAAAGGACGTCATAGATGAGTAGCGAGGGTTGTTTAGCAGACCCCTCACGCCCCCAACGTGAAGCATCATTGTGAACGTTGCCCTCGCCGGTAAGGCTGTGTTCATAGCTAACACGTTCGTACAAAAAAAGACGGGGCAAGAGTCCTAGTTTCGTGAGAAAAGAGCTACCGACGCTATGGCAAAACCAGCCTCGATCCACAACCCGGCTCTCAATATCCGGCAGGCGTCTTCGCACACTATCTTGACTACGCTGCATTTTCTCGGCAACTAAACGAATCGGACGCGCCATTTTATCCCCAATAACGCTCGGCAGCCCCTTGTCCACGCGTGTTGCCACGCCTGAAACAGTTGAAGACGCAGCCGAGCATTCCGTGCCGACCGATGTTAGGTTATCCTTTGGAGACCCCTGATCGGTAGTAAATCGCTCGAACATTAGATAGTTACTATCCCACTCCCTCCTCAACTTTAGATCCGTCATATGAGTATAAACCTCAGACGTGGTAGTAAAAGGAAGAAAGACTAATAATCGCAAGAAAGGAACAGGAGTTTGGTCCTTTTCTAGTGGGGTGTATTTTTCCCTCAAATGCAGAAGTTGAAAGCAAGCCTTGTTTTTTCGTATTTTGGACTGAAAATTAGAAAAGTCATCGTAATCCACTGTCCATGCATTACCGCCATACGCTGCTGAATACTCGTTTAAAAAGTTAGCGGCATGTGCCACAGCGTTGGAGAAGCGCCCTGAGGCCTTACATGACCGCAGCGTTTGCGCCTCGGGTGTTTCGATAAAAGAAGTGGAAAGGGGAGGAGTGGCGTCAGTTTTCGTTACAGAATACTGTCGTCTTACGCTTATGAGCGATAGTAAAGCAAGGCCAAGACTCGAGCCAAGCACACTGAAGGCGATCTTGTAAGTCATTTTAGATTCGTAAAAGTATTATCTCCAAAATTTGATCTTGCCTTGACGATAGAAAAATAAATAGAAGGCATTGGATGCATTGAATACCGTTGATACGATGAAAAAATATTACCAGAACAATGTCATACAGAGGGAGGGAAGAACTGCAGAAACTCGAGATAGGACGCAATAAGGAGGAATGGTCACGGGGGACAATACGGTCTCACAAATGATCATGCGTTATCTAATTTATCCTCCAGGGACTCTCCCCTTTTCCTCACCCCCTTCCATCTATATTTAGCAACGAGAAAAAAATCCTGCGTTGTAAATAGTGAAATGAAAAATACTCTTAAGAGTATTAATACAATTAGCTAGTTATTGCAATACCTGCTAGAACAAATCCTTCCAAAAAAAGGAGCATTCCCATACATTAAATCCGAAACTAATCGCGCCACAACTCGCTGTTGTTAAGGCTAGTTTCTTCGGCAACGTGGGCTCCCACACTAAGCAAGCGATCTCTTTCAGGTTCATGCTCAGAGACGTTATCCATTTCAGCGTCCTCTTTGTCATCCCCAAGGTCCTCGTCTGAGATGGCTTCGGCGAAAACGCCATTGAGGCAACGTTTTTTACCAATTAAACGTGCTACCCATGACTTTTCAGGTGCAATCAGACCAAAGAAGTTGTGAAAATGTGAACTAGCATACTCAAGCAATTCATCTCGACGGATAGGGCCCGTACCGCATTCGCTACAGCCTTCAGCATACCACTGCGATTCTGCTAGAATACGCCGACAGTTACGGCAACAATAATAGTTGCGATGCTTGACAGGGAGCTGCGGTGGGGGCTCTATGTCATTTTTAGAATAATTATTATTACTACTACTCTGGGCCATCTTTGTAGTGGTCTCATCCTCCGCGTGAAGGGGAACTCCACGAGAAAATGCTTTGGGGCCTGGACTTCCTTCAACTTTAACGGAGCGATGCATTGTTAATATTATTGATACTCTTTCTCTATAACTTGTTACCACTGCAAATGATGACGCTAGTATGACTTTTAAGCCGCGGTCAGTCCTATAGAAGTATATGTAACTTTATTTTTACGTGCGCATATGCATCAGTAAGCAATATTTTGATGTATTAGGAAAAAGTTCAAATTTGCATCCAATACACAGTGAATAGAACACATTGAAGGGTAATTGGCGCTTTTCAACTTATTGTAACCAAATTATAGTTTTTAATAATAGTAGGGCTATTGTCAAGGGTCCCCCTTTTAACATTTTACATATAGGTTTTAGAAAGAGAAGCTGAAGACATGGGCTAAAGGAGAAAAAGACTAAAAGGTTTACAAGGTTTTGAAAAGCCTTGAGAAGTTCGGCAATAAAAAAGAGTACTTCATTGCAAAGCAAATGTTTCTGTACACTAAACTATAATAATGATAATAATAAAGTAAATAGACACGGATGTAACTGATGCCCTTTGATTTTGAAACAATCAAAATAATTTACAACGCAATGATGAAACATATAAGCTCATCATATTAAATACACAGGAAAAAAATCACGCTGGGATAATGCCTAGCATACTTTAATGTAATACAGGTCCTCTTTTTTTCCTGTGTGTCTCCAGCCAAAAGATGACGAAAAACTATGCGAGTCTACAATTGTCATGAAATTTGAAGCAAATATTGGTGTGATTAAAAAAGACATAAAGTGTATCGAACAATATAAAGAAATACTTTAGACTTGTTGTGTGCATTTTTTTGAGCAAATCATGATCACTTGATTGCGAACTAGAACACCCTTTCAATTGCACGGTTCCTTTGTGTTCCATAGTATTTTTGTTTTATGTACATAATTTAGTTATATTCAATATATTCGTTCCTCTCTCCTTACAAGTAAAAATAACAGGAATACATAGTAAGATATCACCATTAAAGATTTCCAAATAAAGAAGACGATGAGCAAAGTATAATTTATTAATAATGTACAAGAGTCGAATAAACAATTCGTGTTATGGCATAACTTAAAAGAAGAAATAAAGTCCTTGATTAAGATAATAAAAATACCCACCCCAAATCCGAAAGTGCAGAGTCGAAAGGGAAAGGATATCATATATAGATATATGAAATCCCTTGAGTAATGAGCTTAAAACGTGGAGAACTTGGGTTTAGTCAGGCACGGTAACACAATATCGTCTTTGTCGCATAAAATAGTACCAATACTTAGATTTGGATCTTTTTTGTGTGTGGCAGAGTCATTGTTCGACAGACTAAGAGTTTTCTTAGACGTATTGGATTCACTGATGTCTTCGCACACCGTAAGTGGTTCAACGGGGACCGATTGAACGGATTTGATGGGATTCTTAGCAAGCGCAGCCTTCGCATTATCACCATTATTGCTGCTAACCAAACCTGTCAGTAGGCTCGTAGCGTGAAGATTGTCGGCCTCCCCGACCCTCACCATGTCGAGAGAGATACTTCGATTGATGCGGCCGCGGCTGTTGGCGGGGCTCTTCGTCGCGGGGGGAGTTGGCTTCGGGGGAAAAAACCCCTCCGTATCTAGCGATTTGCTAGAAGGGCCTAATGAATCCCCTACAACAGGGAGGGGAGCTCCATCGATGAACGCAGAGGGGGGGTTCTGGATAGGTAAGACACTTAATGGCATGGGTAACCCCCCGGAGGAGGCTTTTGGACTAACAAGAGTAGGTTCGAGAAACATATCCGAAGGGCCAGAAACCCCAGGAAAACGCTTGAGCTCCTCACTAAAGTGGTTCGACGGGGCCCACTGCTCGTTGCAAGTTCGGAGTATCGTTAAAAACTTCACCTCAGGCGTATTTGTGTCGTCCTCCCGGTGGCGGTTTATCATCGGAGCTGTTTTCAATGGAAAGTCACCTTTAACATTCGAGGCTTCGATTTCGTCAACAAAACGCAGCTCGCTTGGTGTGTGTAGGATGTCGCCGCTCGTTAAACTAAGGCCGGAGAGGCTATCAGCAATCTCAGGCGTTTTTTTGCAACCAAGACTCCTCGATGTGCGAGTGAGTAGGGCCTCACGAAACCGTCGCGCATACCTCCTAGGGAGAATTTCGAAGTATTTGAGAAATAGGTAGTCCTGGAGGTTACACATGCTATCATTGTTGCTGTCAATAGCTTTAATAGCTCCTTTTTCGATAATTTCAAACGTTGACAGTACTGCGGAATGAAATATGGTGTTGCGTTGACCACCTCCTATTTTTTGATACGCTTTCAGCATGGAACCGAATGTGTTAGTCTCGTAAATGAGCCTCCGACAGATCATAATTACTAGGTTCGTAGAAAGAGTCTGCGATAGTGGGTCGTTCGTAGAAAAAGAGAGTTGTTCCTTACTCAACTGGGTGGAAGCAATGTACCCGAGAATCGTTTTGACAAAGTGTGTGTTACTGCAAAGTACATCCAAACCAATCGGTCGCTGCGATTTCACGCTGACTGCGGCGATTCTGTAACACTTCTCGATAAACTGGATCACACGACTCTTGTGGTTAAGAATGGTTTTCAACACCAGATCTCGGTTTTCTGGAGACGTCAAAGTGATAAGGTAATCTATCACACGGATCAACGGAGGGGAAATACACTGCGGCAGGTTCAGCATCAATTCACAATTAATGCCGGATCTAGCAGAGGGGGTAGCATGGATTAGTTCAAATCCCGTGTTGGGTGAAGGAGGGACAGGCGTCAGCGAGCCGCCGGTAGCATGCTGCATGTAGTTCAAAATGAAATGACGATGAAATCTGTGGCGAATATCGGTAGACTCGGGCGAAATTGGCTGCCCAATAGCGATACTGGACTCATTGTCATGGAGGCCTAACACATGAAAAATTGCGAAGCAATTGTCTGTTTTTAACGAACCATACAAGGCAAGCTTGCCCCCTACAGGTGGACTACATCCCTGGTCGAAAACCAGCTGCCGTAGCATAAAAGCCATGATGCCGTTATATTTGTGGGGATCCTCTAAAATGGGGGAACGCACAATTTCGTTCATAAGTTGTTCGTCCCTTTCCTCGTTAAGACTTGCTATAGTGGCGTTTAGTAGGCTGTTTAGCTCCTTATCAATGGGTTGCGAATACCAATTCGGCAGCGGCGTCACTGGCTTGGAGTCTGCATTGCAAGAACTGCCGCAGCCATGGAAGCAGCCTGGGGTGTCGTCTAAAAAACCTAGCGCGGCGCCCGGCGGCATCGCGTAGCGCACCGCCACGAGCGATAAGGCCTCTAACATCCCGCCTTGGAAGGCCTTTACCACCACGGGGCCAACCGAATCCCGACCGAGCTCCGAGATGCCGAGCGTGATGCAGCTTCGGAGAAAGCGGAGGTTCGCGAGCACCTGACGCTCTGCGCGCTGGCATTCCTGGATGAATGACACACTGGCGCGACCAGACAAAGTAGAGTTAGAATCATGATCGGTCGAGTGAAGGCTATCGCTTATCTCCAGACAGTCAAGAGGTCCCCCATGGTGTGAGGTACGCAAAGGGGGAACGATCTCAAGTGCTCCTTTGATTTGCTCAAAAATTTCATTTTTTGAGAGTAGTGCGTAGATGACCTCATTGCGCAAACGCTTTACAACAATGTTTAGCTTCTCAAAAAATCCTGTTTTGACTGGAAGCGATCTCACGATGTTCAACAGTTGTGTAGAGCGCAAATCCTTCGAAATAATCGTGGCTAGCTCTTGTGAAACGGTCAAATTGCTTAATCCATCTGGTATTGACCAAGTCTCGGGAGGAGACGTACAACCAAGTCCTTTAATCAGAAAGGGATAGGCTTGATCACCGAGTAGTTCTCCTAATAAATCCTCATTTGCTATATCAAGGAGAGCAAGGATAGTGCTACTATCTTCGTATAGTTCTGCAAGGGCGATGTGGCCAAACTGCATCAGGCATAAAGAAATAAAGTGTTTCTCAATAAAGCCCAGCGGTGGGTTGTATTTATCATGCAGAAAAACTGAATAGGGCAAGCATTGAGACTGATAGAGATCATCCGCGTTTATAGGGGTCAGGTGTGGTGTGGGAGCTTCTTTATCAGACCCCTTGTGGTCATCTAGGGCCTGTCGTACGGAGAGACTTAAGAAGTCTAGCTCAAAGCGTGGGTAGGCCTTCCCCTGCATGGCTATCAACGCGCTCCAGGAAGCAATATACCCATTCACCGATGAGAACATGAGGCACAAAGAAAGCTTTTTATCGAGGCTATTCCAAACAATTGAACAGTTTTCACCAACAAAAATTGTTTCGTTCGTTATGATATCCTCTAGGATGATACCATCATTGGCTCCATCATTATCGACATCGTTTTGTGCAAACTCAATGCAACTGTTTGAGTTAACTAAGAGGTCATCCAAGTTTGACAACCTTTGCCCAGCAGAATCCTCACGCTTTTTGGATCCTGGCCTCATATTTTCGACCGGAAGAATCGAGCCGTCATCGAACAAATCATTTGTACCGCTGAGTGTACCGTTTTTCTTTGCCTTTTGCCATATTTTCCCAAGACCACCAGGATGCTGTTGCTGAGGATCTGCCAAGGTCTGTCGCAGAAGCAGCGAGGAAGAAGCAGTGGCTTCTGTTTCTCCTGTCAAATTTGAGCTAGTTCTATTATCATTGCCCTTAAGACTTTCGGAAGTCTTAACACGAATGGTATAATTTCCGAACTCGACATAGCCACGACCACGCTCAGCCCACTGGCTCCTTAGGCCCAGCGGCTGAGTGAAAATCCTAACATTGAGATCGAGAAAAGATCCAGTAAGATGAGCCAAACCGCTGCCAAGATGGTTACCGATAGGGGACTTGGTATCCCCGCGCGGAGATTGTGCTTGATCCTTTTTGACACCACTAGTCGCGGATCCCTGGCTTTCTGGGTTGGATTCAGAAACCGAACTATTTTTGCCGGGAGGAAGTTCAACGATCCCAAGCAGAGACGGCCTGCTATCTCTTTGTCGTCTCTTTTTGCGATCTGATTGAGGTTTTGAAGATTTTTGTACTTTACTTTTTTCTTTCCTAGATTCCAACATTTCAAGCTAAATCTTTATAAACGTATATATAAATGTACACGCCACCCCTAAAGGATAATAGTATGATCATCTTTATGAAGTCCATAAAATTTACTTACAGTTTTGACCAACTATCTCGACTTTTTTTAAAAACACACGGTAATTGCAGGTCATGTTTAGAAAGAACCTTTTTTACTTCAAGTTCTCTTACTTGCACATTCGCGCTTGCATACAAGGTAGCATGAAACGTGAACATTCAAAGACAGGCGAAAAGCAATAATCATATTTATCAATAATGTCCTTTATTACTACATACAAGAGCGACGAAATCTATGGAGAGGACCACAAAGTACATCAAATTGCAAGCCTTCAGATGCAATTACCTGAAGATGACGTTTGTTTGCGTGTGTGTGTGCAAGGAAAAGTGCTCGCATACTTTTTAGACAATTAATGATACAATTAAATAATAATTTATCGTATCATGTCACGACTACACCACCTCTATTTATCCCCTCAAGTGAAGGGCAGGTAGGCAAGCATAAAAAGGAAGGCGATAAAATCCGTAACCCCCTTCTTGCCAACAAGAAAGCTGAATATCCATCCCCGCAAGCCTTTGCACATAGGTGTTTCCGTGGCATTTGTGACCCTTCTCTCGAACTCCGATGAACCTCACTTCCTTCCTGATCCAGCCCCTCTGTCAACCCGCAGCCCGCATGGGCTCTCGGGCGCATCCTCCCTTACACACACCCAAGCCACAAGGCCCGTGGACGCGTCACTGGGTTCGCACCATCAGCGGCTCAAAGGCGGTGATAGATCGGGTTGCCACGAGCCCGACAAAAGGGCTGCCGAGGGCGTCGAGGGTGAGCACGGGCGCGATGTTACACGACTTGAGGAGGGCGTCCGCCTCTTCCATCAGCGCGGGGTCGGGCGCTGGTGAGAGGCCTTCCCCTCCCCCTTCCACAGCCGTCTGAGGCTCAACCGCGTCGTCCTCGGCATCGGCTAAAGCGAGGCAGGGGCAGAACATCATGTCGTTCGTCACGACCAGGCAGAGGGAGGAGAGGCGCGCGAGGAAGTCCCTCGCCTCCTCGTCCACGGCAGCCGACGCGGCCGTGACGGCATCCTCACCGCGGTTTGGCGCCTCATGAAGAGGGGCCGTCGTGCGGCCGCCCCGCGCCCGCCGCCAGCGGCGAGGAATGAGATACTTCATTGGGATGGCAAGTGGGGAGTTCCCAGGGCGGCATCGGGTGTCGTTAATCGGGCAAATAGACCCCCCCATATACCCAACCAGGTCGCCAGGATGGAAAGCCGTGCCGGAGAATTGCCGGCGCGTCATGCTCAACAGGAGCCGGCGCGTGGCCTCCAAGGGGGTCGGCCACGGATCTATGGTGTCGTCGCATCCACGCCTCCGTGAAGGCCGACGAGTGTGCAAAAGGGTAAAACATTCTATACTCGGGTGAGCCTGCAGTAAACTATGTGAAAAGGTTAGGTGATGTTTTTCTAAAGTTTTCGCCAAGGGCCTCGAAGCGTCACGATCACCTGAATGCTGCAAGAGGGAATCGTTGGAGTCCCCACCGGTGGTCGCTACTACCGATTCTTGTCTTATACGGTAATCGGCATTTATTCCCACGCTGGACTTATGTGGCGGTCGGCCTCGCCTTTTGGGTGTCTGAAACATTTTAATCCCACCGGATGCTGCGATGCACGAGGCTGCTGTTTGTTGAGCATGCTTGCCCGAGGAACTTGTCATGCCTCTTCCATGCATTCGAATTAAGTGCTCTTTTGGACTCGAGCTTTCGCCTCCTAGAGTGTCGTCGTCCTCCCCTTCTTCGTGTTCTTCATGGCTATTAACGTTGTAGAGAAATACATGTTCGTGGGGCACAAACCTTGAGTACCGGCTAATAGCAACCATCGAAATAGCGTTATCCCAGACTTGCCATGGCAAAAAGGGAATATTCATAGGCCAGTCCACACGCACGGAACTGTATCCAGGGGTATGATTCGTTGGACTAACACAAACACTCGATGGAGAGTTCAGCTGAGAGTTTCCCCCAAGGGGATTGCTTAAAGCTGTGGAAGCTGAAGCATGATCAGACGACGCGCGCTTCCGTTTTTTGGGATTCGAAGGAAATGATCCAGCGGCAGATGCCTGTGGCGACAACATCGACAGTTGGTGTGTTGAAAGCGAGCTCGCATCGGCATGAGAATGAGGGGAATTTCGTTCAGTCGGGAAAATGGCTTCCATGCCTGAGGGTACTGGAATTCCACCCTCCGTTGCCAAGGACTCAGCGGTAATCGGCGGGGTACTAAGCACAGAAACGAGTTTGGCGCCGGCTAACTTGGGAGTGCGGCAGTGGCTGCAGTAATCAATTTTCAACATGGATGAGTCTGAGCAAATGTTCCACATTCCACACTGCGTGCACTCCCAGGTAATATGATACGCAGCGATGGGATCCGCTGATACTGGCAAGGCAGCAGGTGCCGTTTCATTGGAAAACGGCGCGTCAGCGTTTCCATCAGCCGTCTTCACCTGTTTTTCATCAGAGAAGGGACCAACACCTTCACCTTGATTCGTTCCAGGTGGCACTAGATTCGGGAACGGTATGATACCACCACAGCGGTACTGCAGGAGAAGCTCACCACGTGGATTTACCCAGGGTGATGGACTTAGGCTATGTGCTTTACCGTACGCCATCAATATTTCCTCGCCCTCGTTGATTTGCCGACGCGCCACTAGCGCCGTGAAGGGCTCACCGCGGGAATTGAACCGACTTTCGGCGGTTAAATTGGCACTGGACCCCTCAATACTTCGTGGATCGTTGGCGAAGCGGCCGTAGTTCCCTACAAACTCCGCATCCAGCGCGTAATCGTCATTGATCTTGCCGAACCCCATTGTGTACGTCCGGGAGTTACACGACGTACAGAATACCTCAATCAACCCGCTGTACGGCGTAACAATAGTGTTGTTAGGAATCGTGCGCTTAGCGAAGAGCCCACTCTGGCGGTAAGCTGGGTGCCGCGGATCGGTTATTACCCTCACCTCGACAAGGTCCTCGGGAAGGTAATCCGCCGGAACGTACCCCATTACGACGTCCGGGTCCACCAGCTGCTTGTAAAAGACAAAAAGCTCCATTAAAAGGATGAAGCGATCCTCCTTGCTGATGGCAGCGTCGAACGCTAGAAAGTGGCGAGCATGGGGGTCGGGTATGAACTTAAGGGAGCGGCGAGAGGGCATGCAGCGGATGCCCTCTAGTATGCTCTCCATGGCTATTACTCCACTTCATGAAAGGTGTAGAGAGGGAAAAAATGCGCTAGAGGACGTCCAATAGAAATAAAAATTGCGTAACTGATATATATATATACATTATTACTGACTCTTGTTTCTATAATATTTGTACAATTATGTTTCGCTTATGTCGTTGTTATCATAAATAGGTTCGTATAGGAGGCAAGGGGGTTACTGAATGCAGTAACAGTAAAGTTAACAATCTAATTTAGTAGAATCAGAACCACAGCCGATCGCCACCCTAGCAGCGGTAGCGATTTTCGAGCCATATCAAAAACAACAATCGCAGTCGAACGGACAATTCGGTGTTGTCCCTGCACGTGGATTATTTGATAGCATCTTCCTAAGCTCACTTACAGACACAATACGATGCACACCTTCGGTTCGGAGAACATTTGCATTTCCTGAGCTGTTGTTAAGATTTTCTATGACTTTCCGTTTTGAGTTTGGTAATGAGGACTCAAAAAACATGGCATCACTCATCTCAAGCGTTTTTATGGGTGCGCGATAAAGCCCATCCGATTCTAGATTGATCTTTTGTCGCGCGGGAAGAGTTTCTTGCTCCCTCGAGCGCTTCCAAGAGTTAATAGACGCTGTTGAGTGAGACTTCATAGCATTTGAGCGTTTGCCTCGATTTAGAGAATTAGGTGAACCAGCAACTGCACCAGCTGTCTTTGATTTATTGGAAGAAATTGAACTAAAGATAGTATCGAGATCATCTTGTTCTTTAACCGGCATGTTCATTTTAGGAACAGCTTTAGCGTTTGAGCTCGACGGCAAGTGCTTTGCTCCTGATTTATTGCTCATTGAAGAGGATTCTTTTTTATCTACCGTGTCATTCTTAGTGATAAGTACACACATACTCTTCTTTTTTTTCATTCTCGGAACTATACTATGCCTTGAGGTAATATTACTTTTGCCTTATCGTAGATTTCGTGCTTATAGTTGAAAAATTTGCTCCTTGTCTCTGGAATGCATAACAATGGATAAGAAAAACAAATTATGAGTAGGATACCACTTTTGAGATTCGACAGCACACCTTTTCGTAAAACCATCCTTCAGTGCTTCATTTTGCACTTTGAATTTTACAAATCTCGGCCAACTGTGATCACTACCAGAAGGAATGGTCCTTGCGGACGACATTTTAATACATGCGTAAAGCTAAGGTATCGTTTCCAGAACAGATAAAAATAAGCTAAATTAATAACAAGAAATCATCCGATAAATAAATATATACACATATATATATATATATATATATATGTGTATATATGTATATCTATATATATGTTCATAAAACGCATCATTACTATTTAACAGAAAAGATATCATTATTCGCTAGTGAATATATAAGAATATATAGATGCGTTGAATAGCCACACAACCCTTTTTCCATTAAATTTGGCTCTATGCATTATGGTATACTTCAATGTCCTTCGCAAAAGGTTTGCCGGCCATTGTAGACTCGATTTCGTCCACGGTGCGTGGTACACACGTATAATTAATTGCGCCATCCTCAGTTACAAGCACGTCGCTTTCGATGCGTACGCCACCAAAGTTCCAATATTCGTTTAACATTTCCTCATTGACGAAGAACTTCAAGGTTTCATCACTTAGCAGCTTTTCCATTAGCGCTTGATTGAAATAACAGCCAGGCTCCACGGTGATATACACACCCGCCTCCAACACGCGCGCGGTGCGTAGCCTAGAAGAGTCCTTCCTTGTCGGGCGAGGTGGGCAGTCCTCAAGGTAGGACCCTACATCGTGGACATCGAGGCCGATAAGATGACCAAGACCGTGTGGCTGGAAGTACTGCATCACCTCCTTTTCCATAAGCTCGTCCACGTCGCCATGTAGAAGGCCGATTCGCACGAGATGCGTACAAATCGTCCGAATAGCCATCAGATGCATGTCAACCCACGACACACCTGGCTTGATAGCACGAATAACACGATCATGGGCCTCAAGCACGGCGTTATAAATCGCCTTCTGCGGCTCAGTAAACCTCCCATTGACGGGAAAGCTGCAGGTAATATCAGACGAGTAGCCGCAGTAGCTGCCGCCCATATCTAGCAGCGCCATCGTTCCCTCTTCGATGGTTTGATCGTTATTGCAGTAGTGTAAAATCGATGCCTGGGGGCCTGTCGCACAAGCAGAGGTGTAGCTCACCCGGCGGCACCCCCCATTGTGGTAGATCTCGTGCAGGAAGATGGACTCCAGCTGGTGCTCCGACATCCCAGGCCTGCAACTCCGCATCACCTGGACGTGGGCGTCGCTGGAAACTCGGCAGACGTAGCGGAGGAGAGCCGCCTCGAGTGGCGTCTTCCGTACGCGCTGACGGCTGAGGACGGAGAAAAGCCACCCGTCCTCAACCGCAAGCCCCTCGCCCGGAGATGGCAGGGGGAGCACCACCAGCCCGCTGTGGGAGTTGACGCCGTGGAGGACGTCCACGGTGCGCACCTCTCGTTCCCGCAGCACCCTCGGCATCTCGTCGAGGTAGTACGCCGCGTCAACGCGTGTGCGCTGCTGGATCGACTCCGGCGTTGGGAGGGGCCCCATCCAGGTCGCGTACTCCTCGGGCAGGCGAGGGATGAAGAGGATGCCGGTGCCGTCCGCCAACACCACCCCAAAGACATCCGGCATATCGAGGCCAAATAGGTAGTTGAAGTAGCTCTCCTGAATGAAGGGATAGTTTATGTCAGTCGAGTCGATGGGGACTTCCGAGGCTGCCTTTAAAAGCGCTGCATGACCACCCTCGGGGTAGTGTTCGGATAGGCTCTTGCCAAGCCGCTGACGCTGCTCCCTATACATTTCATAGTTAATAGGGAAGGGATAGGCACTGAATCGGTTTATTTTTTCAGACATTTGGTTTTTTAGCGAGTATAGATGTATGGAAGTTATAGTTTCCTTAAGGTTTAAACTTTTCTGCGGTAACTTTTCACTGAGAAACTGAAGAAAGCTATAAGACAGTGAAAGCTAACGTTTGGCATATAATCCATGACCTCTCAAAATTAACTACAATTTGTAGATTTTGATAAACTACACATACTAAAGCCACATCAACGGATAACGATAATGGTAATGATGATGTTCTTCAGAATGTTTGTTGCATTCCTAAAATTAATAATGCATGTACCAGGACGAAATGCATGACCAAAGAGAAGATGGTACACACAAAAATGAAAATAGTCGCACGGAAGCCCAAACAAAGGTAAGAATGCGGGAACACGTATCCATAGTCACCGACAAGACCTCTAAAATAACGGCACTTGTGCAAAACAAGACCAAATTCCTGATGAATTTACCATTTTTCCTCCTGATATCAATGCAGTAAAGATCTTAAAGATTAAAAACGTTAATAAAGACCTTTAGCAGAATTTGCATCCATTATCACACCTTAGCTCGACATGATATACACGCATAGAAATCCACACGTCTTGCACTGTATTGTAGTTAGTGAGCTTGCTAATAGTAGATTGAGGCCGCAATATTCAATATCCTCGAATTCATTAGTGAAAGGTGCCCCCAAGTTGAAATGCATTGCACCAATAGGTTCGATGCCAAGCTGTGGCATCATCAAAGCATATCTCATAGGCCTACTTCCCCCCTTCTCTTGCCTGTAAGAGTCTTCAGAATAAGAATCAACCCATCCGAGAGAATGCATGCGGAGGGAGACTCACGCCCATCATGAATCGCTTGAAAGAACAAGATGGCAACAGGTTAGCGATGCCTAAGCCATGATAATCTAACGGCTTCAATGGATTTCGATGCCTCTTCATAAGATCACAGCTGCTGATTCTTCAGTCTTACCGCTGCAACTACACAAACTCCTTATCAGTACTGAAAAGCACACGAGGATCGAAGCCGAATAGATTTTTTCCCGTATGCTACTAATTCATGCTGAGCTTTGTATATTAAGGAAAAAAGTACTTAAGCGAAAATAAAAGCAAAAGGGAGAGTGGTAATGGGCGCTAATTTTAAAGAGAAGATAAGAAAATTGACATACATAATAATCCTTGATTAGCCCGCTCACCTTTCCTTTTCGAGACTACTATTCTTGGTTGTTTCACGACGATTACACCTGGGGCATCCTTAGAATATGCTTTAATAGGTTAATTAAGGGGATCCGTTAGATATACCTAAAATGTCCTTTTTTAGTTTCATCTCTCCAGAAGTTCATATGCTCGTAAAACAGTAAAGAGCAAGTCCTTTCAACGTTGGTCTTGAGACAGGAAAAAAAAATTTAGTCTCAAAAACCAACATGGTTTCAACACCGATTCGTGAACAGTCGTAGTGAGGTTGGAAAAAAAAAAGGTGACTCTCATAGATGGTAGGAGGATGCCGTGTATGTATGTGTGCCATCAAAGCTTTAATTTATTCCATAAATTTCATACAACTTCATACGCGTCGGCTGATCGCAAAGATTCAGAGCGCGTTGCCAAACGGCCGGCTCCCTTTCCTTGACCTGTGTGAGTAGCTGCTTGATAGCGCGCTGAGTATCCGCCATTTCGGTAGTCAAGGCATACGCCAAGTCAAAAAAGAGTTTTAGGTTTCCAACGACCACCCGTCCTCCCTGGCGCTGCACGGCGAGCAGGAAGCCGTTCACCGCGATGGTTCTATGCGGAAGCGGCTTGATGTTCCGGACGTACTCGCAAAAACGCTTCGCGATGGAGTCGATCGGGAAGCTGACGTTAAGACCGAGATCGGGGTCCGCGTAAAGCATCATTCCCAAACAAAGCGCGACATTTTCGGCCATATTCCGCATCTCCGCGCTAATATCCGGACCGCTAAAAAGCTGTGCGAGGCTCAGGTACAACTGTGGGAGCGCCGAGGAGGCGGCGAGGGTGGGGAGGTGGTTGATATCCAGCTCCTTCTCCAACAAATTACACAGCGCCCAGGCGACGTTGCTGATAATGCTGGAGGTGCTTTCATTGAGCACCTCCAGGTTCGCGCGTGCCGCGCCGCAGACGGCGTCGAGCGCGGCCTGCACCTGCGTTGGGCACGCCCGCGCAACGTCGCCGAGCAGCGCGAAGCCGCTCTGCCGGATCTCGTGCTGCTCATCCATCAGAAGTGGCAGAACGACCTGCATGAAGGTGGGCTGCTGCGCCGAGAGCAGCGGCTCAAGGCTCGCCCCGAGCGCGTCGAAGAGCCCGGAGAGCAAATCCGCGGCGGTGATCAAAAATTCCGGCTCCGGCGCCTCCTCTGGGGCCGCCAGGCGGAGCTGGGTGTGGTGCGCTAACATGCCATAGGCCCGACGGAAGATCTCCCCCGCCATGGGCTGCATCACCGGTCCGAGCACCCGACACACGCTCGCCATACTCTCGAAGAAGGAAAGAATGAGCGGGCTGTCGTTGGCGGTGCTCGCCCAGACCTCCCCGAGGAGCGCCATGAGGGGTTCAAGGGCGGCCGCGTTCCCCCGCAGCGCGTCGCCCGCGCACTCGCAGAAGGTCTTAAGCGTTTCAAAGAGGAGGACGCAATTCTTAAGCTGAAACCCCCGCGCACACTGCGCGATGCAGAGCACGATCTCCTCAATCATCGGATCGAGCTGGCCTTCCGTGCATAGCTCCGACATCGTCGCCAACGCGCTCGTCGCGCTCTCCTGCGTGAGCTTAGAGGGGCTCTGCATCTGGCGAAGCACCGCTCGCATGAAGCGCGTCAGCCGCCCGGGTTCCTGCGCGAGATAACGCCCCACCTGTGTTCCCGTCCAAAGCGCGATATTCACCACAAGGAAATGCGTCTCCGACGACTCCAGCAACTCCAGCAGACGGTCGGAGATGCTCGGGAGGTACGGCGCGAGGGCATCGAAGCAGCCATCGCAGATCGCCCCGAGCGCGAGCACGGCGGCCTCGATATGCTTCCACGGCTCCTGCGGCTGCATCATGCGATCGATCTCGACGAGCACCGGCATCAGCACCCGATCTCCAAAATACTCGCTAATGTTATCCAGCGTCAGGGCGGCAACCCGGCGAAGATTCCACTCCTCGATCTCGTCCTCGTCCCCTTGGTCGTCGTCGTCGTCGTCCGGGTTGGTGTTCTGCACGCGCGCCTGGTACTGCCGCGGCCGGATGTCGTCCAGCTTATCCGGCACGTTCCAGTCGGACGGGTTCGCCTGCAGCATGCTCATCTCCATATCCGAATACACCATCGCCCGAATGAGAACCGGAATCAGCTTCTCGATCGCGGGCTCCGCGAGTTCCGCGAAACGCGGGAAGTGCAGCACCCCACGCCAGAACTCCGTCGCGGCGATGCGGAGCTGCTCCTCCGGGCCTTCCGGCGCCCCCATCGCCTCCTGAATCAGGCGAAGCATCCGGCCGAACAACGCGTCGTCGATGCCCTCGTGGAAGGTGAGGGAGAGGACGAGGCAGGTGATGCACTTCGTCGCGATCGTGTTCGACAGCGGGCGTTCTAGATTCCCGAAAAAGACCTGAATGAGCGGGAGGACGGCCTCCCGCAGACTGAGGTGGGCGTACCCGTCGAAGTCCATCCCGGCGCGCTCGAGGAAGCTGGCGACGATGTCGAGCGCCTTCGCGCGGACCTCCACCGCGTCCACCTCAACGCCGAGGTGGGTGGCCGCGAGGAAGGGCTGCGTCGTCTGCAGGATCGCGGGAATCATCCGCCGCGCTTCGATGAGTAAAATGCAGTCGTCGACAACCTGCGAGAGCGCGCGGATCGCGCCGTGCACCGCGGGCAACTCCCCACCCCGCTGCGCGAGAATCCCGCAGAGGCTCGGCACGACCACCTCCACCGACCACACGTTCTCGCGCGCGGCGAGGCTGATGATGGAGGATGCCACCTTGCGAATGCCCCGCAGCGGATCCGTAATCGCCTGCGTGCACACGTACTGCTGCAGGGTTGCATTCCCCGCACAGGCGGGGTGGAGCAGCGCGTTTTTGATTTGAAACCCACAAAGCTGGCGGCCGTACGCGTTGGCGGTGGGGGAGACCAAAATTTCAGCACAGGAGGAGAAAAAGGCCAGTGGATCCGCCTTCAGCTGCGCGAGAAGGGTCTCACCTTGCTGCCGAACATCCTGAGATGGGCTCGAGGCAGCCTCCAGAGCGTTGAGGATTTGCTGTGAAAGTGACATTGACGGGCTTGTTTTAGAGTAGGAATCTAAAATCAAATTTGGAAGGGGACGGGAGTGGCAGTGCGAATGAGGAGTGCGACTTCAGAGAGGCCGTGGTGAGGGGAACAGCACAATTCAGGATAGCGGTGGGGCGCCCAAGATGACAGCTCTTGCCCCTAGTTGTGAAAAGGGGGAAAAAATCCAAAATGAAATTTGCTACACGCCTTCAAGGGACACTTTGATGTGGTTGGCACCTGAAAAAGATACCGACTGAAAGAAGAAAAGGAAGTCGTCAAAAATATTATTCGAGAAGAAAAATAGGCATACATAATTTCCTTTTTAACTCGGCGATCGAGCGGGTAAAGTAAAAATTGTAAATAGAAAAAACAAGCAACACTCATCTTATGTTAGACTATTCTTACAAATCCGGAAATTATAAACGATAATCCTCCTCTTTTCTTTTCGAGCGATTAAAACATCTAAAAAGTCACACAATTACTCTGAAATGTAAAAAGGAGGCAATTGAAAAACTGCTTAAGCACGCCAGGGGGTGGGTTCATTCCTTAGAGTTTGTTTTTCATTTCTCTTCTCTACATTGCACTACGGATAAATTCGAACAAAAACAAACACGGACTGTCTAATCGTATATGGCACGATCAGAAGTTCCTATACACGAGGAAAAATGCTGTAACAAAAGACTTCTATAAAGACACAAATAAAGATAATATGACGGCATACAGCAAATCGACAAGAAGAAGAAAAACACACAGTATGGACGACCCCCAGCACAACACGAAATAGAATTCGCTATATTCATAGATTTGTTGGGCTCTTACATGCTTAACAAGAATTTCTACTTCACATGGCAGAGAAAAGATAAAAGCGTAAAAAAAAAAGAAAATCACAGTAAATTATGAGTAAACACCGTCGAATATTTAGGAGGAAATAATTAAATCCGCAATTCAAAACTAAAAGCGTCACAATAACGATTTTAATTCAATACAAGATACTTAAGAATGACAGATGTATCGTTAAGATTAATAGTTCATTGATGTCATCAGAAAAGAACTGCCAGCAATAGTATGGCTTCAAATGCAATCTTTATCAGTTACGTTGGATATATAGAGATTATTTTAACTTATTCCCTTACCTATTCCTATCTTTACTTTTGAGAGCGCAAAAAAAGAAAAAGGATAATCTATAAAAATAATAGTAATAAATTAATGAAGCCAAGACCTATGCAGTTAAAAAGAAACACAAGATGCATGCTAACATTATTTGCTTAAATAAGAAGAAGCACAAACAGTAAAAAAAAAAAAAGATATACGTAGAGAAATAAATTAAAAAAATGAATCAGGACTTTATACATTTTTATGTACATTTTTTAGAAAGCCGACATAAATTTACATCCATCATTTGAACGAAAAGTATAAGAAGAAATGATCATCTCTAACAAATCGATATATATTCACCAAAACATTCAAGCATTCAGAGACCATGTTGTATTCGGGACCCATTTTTTACAAAATTCATGTACGTTTTTAGTCCTCACTTCAGTCTCGAAAGTAATTATTATAAAGGATGAATTAAATGGAGACTACTATTCATTATGTCCAGCAAAAAGATTCATAGTAAAGATGTCATTAATCCCAAAATATAAGGATTGCTAGAGTGCATGTCTGAATGCCTTGAGAATAGGTGTTGTTTTACTATATTATCAAATTTAGCAGTAACTTTGCGTCGATTCAGAACCCTTTCCACCATTTATACGGCTGTTACCATTTGTATAAATGTTGCGGTTGCTGTAACACAGAACGAAAGAAAAAGATAGTCTGAATGAGAAATTAAAGGCGTACATGAGCCCTCTGAAATTAAAAAACGTGCCTGTTTTGCCATGCCATGACGTTTACAAAAAGAACTATTATCCAAGCATTCTACAATATTGGTAATGTAATAAAAAGACCACTAGGTAGAGAATTTAATTCGGCTAAAAGTACTTTTTGTTTACTCGTGTATATCCTCTCTTCCCCATAAAACACGTATGCCTCTACTTTTTTTTTTGGTTACATTCACTCCTAAAACAGGTCAATATCTTTCAACAGATGAACGTCTGGAGGGAAGATAGGAGAGAAATGAGGGGGTTCTAAATCGCATCACAAATACATGTGATACGACACAATATCACTACTACTACAGGGAAAAAAAGAAAAAAAAGCTACTTCCCCCCCCTCCCCTTCTCCCCCCTTTCCCTCCGCACTTCTCTCTTCTTCCCGTATCATCCCTTGGACTGGATTTCGATTCGATTTCACGGCAAACTCTCTTCCGGTAACGACAGCGTCTCGTAGGTGGCTCCCCCTAAATTCCGGACCACCTCCCACGACGTCAGCCTCGACCTCGACGGTCGGCGCCGGGCCAAAATGTTCGGAATCTCCTTCGTGGAAGGGAGTTGGGTAGGGGCGTCGGGTTTCCCCTCCCCCCCCCCTTTCTCCTCCCTCTCCGTTCGCCGTGGTTCCTTCTGCGACCTCGACGCCTTCCCGCCCCCGCCGGCGTCGCTG